CCCTGCTGCTGCTGCTGCTGCTGCTGCCCATAGGAGTCGCCTTCGCTGCTGGAATCTGTAGTTGCTTTCTTGTCTTTAGCGCTGGTGAACGACCCGTCTATTTATGCGGAGTCAGCAGCCGTGGCTGCTCCAGCAGCAGCAGCAGCTGCAGCAGAGCACGCAGCGTCTGCTGGTGCCCCTGCTGCTGCTGCTGCTGCTGCTGAGGGGCATTCAGGTGTACAGACACTTGATAGCCCGCAGGAAACACCGGGACGGAGAAGAGCTGTAGACTTTCTCTCGGCTCTTTCGTGGCTTCCACCTGCTGCACTTCGCCTGTGTCTGCTGTGAGCGAGGCTTGGCTTGCTGCTGCTGCTTTTGCAGCAGCAGCAGCAGCAGCAGCAACAGCTGCTGCAGCAGCTGCTCTTGCTTCTTTGCTGCTGTCGTGAACAGCTGCGATCTGGGCCTGCCTTTTTGCTATGCAGGACTCTGAACGAGCTGGAAACATCTCGGGCCGATGAAGACACAGAAACCAGCAGCAGCAGCAGCAGCAGCAGCAGCAAGTGCTGCTGCAGTCACGTGCGGTGGATCGTGCTCGTGCTGCTTGGAGTCTACAAAGCAATTCAGCTGGGGGAGCAGCAGACAGTCACAGGGGCTGCTTGGTGAGACACAAAAGTGCTGCTGCGAGAGGCTGCCGCAGCCTCTTCGCTTCGCTGCTGCTGCTGCTTGTGCTGCTGCTGCTGCTGGCGTGACTGGCCAAGCTGCTGTTGCTGCAAGCGGCGAAAATTCCGCTGCTGCTGCTGCTGCTGCTGCAGGGTTGAGGTGCTGCAAAGCCACGCCATAGACCTTCAGGAAGAAGACGTACTCGTCCCCCTTGAAGTTGCAGGGTAGGCATACCTGCTGCTGCTGCTTTTGCTGCTGCTGCTGCTGCTACTGTTGCTGCTGTTCTTTGATCCGTCACAAGTTCAGCTGATTCAGCAAGTGTTTTTCCCGTGTGGCAGCTGTAGCTGTCTCACGTTTTAATTAGTGTCTGCTGCCCCTCTCTTCGCCAAGCTGGCATTTGCTGCTGCATTTGCTGCTGCTGCTGCTGTTGCTGCACTGCCACAGCGAGGACGCGGAGCCTGCACTTGACGTAGTGCATAGGGAGCTTGTTGCAGTTTCTGAAAACCAGAGTAAGTGTACAAAGACATTGGCAGCCGCAGCAGCAGCAGCAGCTCCAAGAGCAACGCATCCAGCAGCAGCAGCAGCTGCTGCTGCGGCAGCAGCTGCAGCAGCAGCGAAAGCAGCGACAGCAAGGAGCTGATGACGCTTTTTGTTTTGCAGAATATTCTTGGCCGATGCGGATCAACGCCATGGGCTTGGCCAGGGCGTGCCGGCCATCAAGCAGCAGCAGCAGCAGCAGCAGCAGCAGACGGCTGCAGGAGCAGCTGCAGCAGCAGCTGGTGCTTCACTTTCCTTCCAGTGTGCTTCCAGATGACCCGGCGCTGACCCTTTGCTGCCTCCACCTGCAGCGGCTGGCAGGGTAAGTGCTGCAGCACTTCTATCTGCGCTGTGGCCCAGAGTCTTTGCTGAAAGCAGCAGCAGCAGCAGCAGCAAGAGCAACACCACCTGCTACTGCTGCTGCATGCGTTACTGTGTCGGTGCTGTCTTGCTGCGCTGCAGCCTTCCTGCGGAGGTGCCGGTGCCTCCTTCAGAGCTGCTGCCCAAAGTGCTGCAGCAGCAGCAGGAGCTGCTGCAGCAGAACTCGGGGAAACTAACGTGCACGAGTAAGCTTGCAGTTGAGCTGCAGATGGCTTTTGCTGCTGCTGCTGCTGGTGCTGTTGCTGCAGCTTCACAACTGTTGCTGCTGCCGTTGTGTGAGCTGCTGCTTCCTCTGCACCCTCCCACCACAACCAGCACTGCAGAATTGAGAGCAGCAGCAGCAGCAGCAGCAGCAGCAGAAATGTGGATTTCGCGTTGCGGCTGCAGGCCGCCTGTCTTTGCTGCGGCTGCTTCGAACTGCTGCCCAGCTGCTGCCGCCCTTGCTGCTGTCGGAGGGCCTTGCTGCTGCTAGCTTTACCGTGAGTGTGGGGTGTACGTACATCTCGTTGTGGGTCCCCCAAGAAGCACCCCAGTTTAGTTTTATTTGTCTTGCCTCTTTCTGTTTTATTTTTATTTATTTGTCTTTCTGTTTTGCATTTTAATTAATTTTTAATTAATTGCAATTAATTCCATCGTTAGAATGTGATCTTTGATTTCAGATTAAATCAAAAGTCTTAAATTGCTTTTGAAAGAATAAATTAGTTCCATTTTTTCGCCTTTATAGGATTTTATTTATTTTAATTCTTTGTCTAAACCCCTTCTGCATGCAGAAGAGGTTTAAAAAGTATTAATTAAATTCAAAAAATTATTTTTATTTTTATTTTTTCATTTTTTTGTTCTTTGTCTTTAGGGGTTTTGGCGGCTGGTGTTTAGTGTGGACGAAGCTCTGTGGCTGGCAGTCATAAAAGCAGCAAGTCAGTTATCTTTTTGTAATTCTTTTATTTTGTGTCTGCTTCCCTTTTAGTCATTCGTGCTGCAACACATCCTGCTGCTGCTGCTGCTGCTGTGCTGCTGCAGATGCTGCTACCCACAGCCGCAGCACATGCCTCTACCCTGCTGCCGCAGCCGTGGGGGCACAGACTCGAGGAGGGCCTCAGAGCGAGGACAGCGCAGAAGCAGCAGAAACAGCAGCTGCAGCAGCTGCAGCAAGTGCAGCAGCAGAGGAACCTTCCATGGGGCTGCATGCATGTTTGCTGCTGCGGACTTTGTTCTATGAGCTTGTCTGCCAGTATGGCCCGGCCATCTTAGCGCTGCCTCCAGCTGCTCCGCCTGATGAGTGTGTGCTGGCTGCTGCTGCTGCAGTGCAGCAGCAGCTGCCGCAGCAGGTGGTGCTGCTGCTGCGGCACTACGTCTCTATGCAGCAGCAACGCATTGCCACAGCCACCGCAGCAAACCAGGAAAGCCTTTGACTTCCCGCTGCTGCAACAGTCTGCTGCGAGGGAGTCCTTAGGGATGCGGCAGCAGCAACAGCTGCATCAGCAGCAACTGCAGCAGCAGTTGCAGCAGCAGCAACTTCAGCAGCACCAGAACGCGTGCCTCAGGAGCTTCCGGCTCGACAGCGCGCGAAGGGTTGTGCGCTGAGCTGTACAGACACCTCGTGGCTCTGCGCATCTTTATATTTCTTTTTGTCTTTCGTTCGATCAGACAAAAGTCGGAAAACAATATTTGAATATTAAGTCCACTAGAAGCAAACAAGCAACGCTTAAAGTGCTGCAGCGCAGCAGACGCACAGGCAGCTGGCCAGCTCTAGAAGCAGCAGCAGCACCTACAGCAGCCAACACAAACAAGCAGCAGCTGCAGCAGCAGCTACAGCAGCAGCTGCTGCTGCTGCTGCTTGGTAGTGTAGGCAGTTCGTGGCCCTTGCTGCTGTCAGTTGTTTAGTTGTGTGGCTGTGTCGTGCGGTGTACGTACACCTCAGCTGTCTAGACACTTGAAATTGCCTGAGCAGCAGGAGATTTTGCATGCAGCTGCTGCATGCAAAAAAAGCAAAAAGGATATATTGCAAAAATTTGTGTTTTATTTGCATGCAGCTGCTGCATGCAAATAAAATATAAACTTTTGCAATATACCTTTTTTGCTGCTGCTAGGAGAGGCCAAACAGCTGCAGCAAAATGTATGATTCAAAATGTACAATTATATTTTAGATATTCAAATGCACATGTTCGAGCTATGCACAAACGTATAAAAATATATATATATAGCTATATAAATGTATATATATATATATATGTATCTGTGTATATATATATACACGGATAAACACATATATAAACATGAATATTTATATATACATATATATTTATATATATATATATATATGCATATATAAATATATATATATATATAAATATACGTATTCAAATATATATGTGTATTTATATATACATATATTTGCTCTTGTAAGCATAAGCCGAGGCCGCAGCAAACATGCAAAGAGGCAGCCATAGCGCATTAAGAAGCTGCTGCTGCGGCCGCACAGCAGCAAGTGCTGCGGGGCCTCCACACTGCAGGTGCAGCAGCAGCTGCTGCAGCGGCAGCAACTCTGCTGCTGTTGCTGTTGCTGCTATAGGGTTGCCAGAAAAGAAACTGAAGAAGTGCGCCTCCAGTCACTCCTTATGCGACACAACAGAACCTCCAGTATCAGCTGCTGCAGCAGCATTTGCTGCAGCACCAGTCGCTGCAGCTGCACTGCATTGCTGCTGCAGCAGCTGCTGCTGCAGCAGGTGCAGCTTTGACGCCTCTATTTTGGGGCTTTGCTGCTTCAGAAAGTTTGCATGCGTATCTGCCCAGGCCGCGCGCATCCTACAGAGCAGCAAAGAAACTCGACAACGCAGCAGCAGCTGGCTAGCAGCAGCAGCAGCAAAACAACTCCTGCCCAACAGCAGCAGCAGCAGCAGCAGCAGCAGCTACGAGTCCTTGCTTGCCTTCGATAACAGCTCCGGAGTGGCTTATCATAGCCGCAGCATAGGGAAGGTCGTACGCGAGATCTGCGTGCAGACGCCCAAACCCAAAACCCTAAACCCTAAACCCTTGGCGTAAACCCTAAACCCTAGACGCACGTTCAAGGAGAAGCAGAATGTGCTGCTGCAGATGAGGTCTGGGCCTTACAGGCGCTCTTTGCGTTGTTGCTGAATGCTGCACCTCGTTGCTGCAGCAGATCCGTTGCACTATCCTCGTGCTGCTGCTGCTGCTGCAGCTCTTCCTGCTGCTGCTTTTCTTGCTGCTGCTGCTGCACAACGCCACCTCCAGGGCCTCCTGAGCAGACAGCAGCGCAGGCAGCAGCAATTGAAGGCCATCCCCAGGCCCAATGAGCAAGCAGCAGCAGCAGCAAGCA